TTGCCGGTAGAGAATAATTATTAGTTATTTTGAAATTCATGATAATTAAAGCCTGTACTCATCAAAAGTTTTTCTATATGTATTTTTATTTTTTGTTACTTTTCTAATTGATTTTGGGCAGTTTTAATTTTTATCTGTAGGAAAGTATGCTGCGCCCCTCTTTCAAGCCCTTCGCCCCCCCACCGGGGGGTCTCGCCACACAGTTTGAGAACCACTGCCTTAAGAAAATGGCCAATAATGCTATGAGATGAAATTGCACACCACACTGTTACCTGTGCAATGGCTGCTATTGGAGTTGGCAAGGGTTTACTTCCAACCAATAAAGAAAGTTCTGTTTGTTCACAAAACCGTCTAGATAAACATGAGCTTCATCAGACATCCACAGATTGTGAATGAAGTCTCATTATGTCCCATTTCAGTTACCATTTCTTGACAAAAATGTTTACTGCTAAGGAGATCCCACAGTTTCAATACTTTCACTACCTGATCCTGACAGTTATATTCTCTGGTGTAGGGGTGTTTCCTATTTAACCCAGAGGTTTCCTTTTGAGAGAAGAACCCGTTACTTAAAAAAAGTGGTGTCAGTGATAAATTTACAGCAGGTACATGATACCAAAACTCTATCTCACTATGAAACTTAAAAGCTGACATCATAACTGTTAACAATTTGTTCTATAAATAGGACTTGTATAAAAACTGAGTCTCTCTGGAATCTCTCAACCAGAATCAATTCCAAAATAAAGACATATTTTGTAAGTGTCCCTAGGTCATTGTAGGGAATTTATCCACATCAGAAAAACAACACAGGTAAACATGGGAGTATGCATATGTCCTGAATGGAATTCAAACCCAGAGTTCTGATGTTTCATTAGCCCAAGACAATATTAGCCTGTCACTGTGATCCACAAATACATTAAATGCCATAATTATTCCAAGTCCACACATTTATTCAAAGACTTCAGACTACTCATGCACATTATCATGAAAGTCCTTCATCACAGATTGTGCATATGAAATGAAATCACGTACTCATGCTAATGAGGGAGAGGAGTGAAAGCATACATAAACAGGGCCATAAAATGAAGAAAAAAGACAAAGTTGTTTTCCTGCTTAATTAAGCACTACACCTTTAACACATATAAGTGGAGGTACAGCTCCATGAATTCTTAAACTCAGCACCAGATGGAGCTCAGTGTTCAGTTTCATCCTGTGGTCACTGTATCCCCAAGGACAGAGTCCCAGCAACTACTGGATACAGACTGGCAGTCATGAAAAACTATTTATAGCACAAGAGAATAATTATTTTATTTTTTGAATGGATATCCATAACAATGTTCTTTCCGATTATAAATGTAATGTAATAAAAGTAAAGTAAATTAAAGCTATCCCTGTAACAGGCCGTGAAGGCCCATAGGGTTGTGAGACGTTGAGGATCCCACATTATCTAGACAATTGTCTCAAAGATGGCAGTAAGGTTAAACAATAAAATTAAAAAGGCCCTGTAGAAAAAAAAAGGAATAGAAATCAAAATCTTGTGCTGGGAGAGCAAACTGTTCTAGATGTGTGTATGGACTACACTGGAAAATACCCCCACTTACATTTCAGCAACTTCTCTGCTACAGAACTGAAGATGCTATTGCAAAATCAAATGTACGACTCTGGGACAGCCCCAAGTGGCAAAAAAGAATGACAAGAGACTTCAAGAACCTTAAATCTTTAAAACTGAAGACAGAAGAAAACTGTAATGAGTATGTTACTGCTACACTAACTTTTCCCCAGCAATTCAATTCTTGAAACCAATGACAGAATAAGACGAGAGACAGACAAACATGGAATGGAATATGAAGAAAGCAGTCTTCTGGGATTTGGCTTTACCGTTTCTCACGGTGTTGTCGCTTGCAGAATTCTTATACTTTTTCTTCTACCCTGAAGATGGGGGCGATACGTTCCTCCGAAACGTCGGTTAACACCACATATACACGGTGCCAAATCCCAGAAGACTGCTTTCTTCATAGTCACCGCCGTGAAAGCCTCAAATCTTACACAGTTGAAACATGTTTTCCATTTTGTTCTATTTTTATTCTCTATGATGAGATGAAGTCAACAGACCTGCATGTGTTTCACATGGGAAATGGCAGCTCCAGTAGAGCATGAAGTTAATGACGCCAGTTGGGTAAAAAATTGTGTCACTCAAGATTGCAGGGAAGGAGCAAAATTTCCTTGCAGTACAGACTTCCTCGTAACAGTTCAAAAAGTTTTGAAAAACCATTAGGCATGTAAAAGCTTGTGTTGAATGAAGTGATAGGAAAGGAAAACTTTATCAGGATGTTGGACACACAACATAAAAGTTTGTACGTCCAGTGTGCCATGATGGCTGCTTTCTAACTTACCCAAAATGGGATATGAATCTGAGGGATGAATATGAAATCAAACACTTACAATATGCAAACTGATACCTTAATAACTGAAAGTTTGCATAATGAAATAATTTGAAATAGTTGAAATGGTGAAATTTCTGTAATCAGTACCACATTCATGTCACTGAAATATAAATACCTGGAAGAAATCTGTTCTGATAGCTGCAAACAATGTTCAGATGGAGGAAGCAGAGGGTTAATTGTGCAGTGCAATAAATAGGGGAATATTATGGTGACTGATCACGAACGTTCTATCGCCAAGATGTTTTCTCTATATCACTCTCCCCTTTCAAAAATGGTTTCTATGGGTTGAAATCAGGGTTCTTCCTAAGAATGACAAACCCCTCCATGATTGGGGTGAGAGGCACATACTCTTCAGCTGCTAGCTCTGCTCTTTCACCAAATGCAAGGAGAACAGGAGTTGTGTGGGTCTGGAAGCCTGTGATTGTCTTTGGTTTTCCAGCCTGTCCAACAACATCAACAGACTGAAAAGATACAAAAAAAAAAAAATGAGTACAACATTAGCAACATACACTGTTGTCTTTTCACTTAATGAGCAAACTAAATCAAAGCAAAATGTCAATATAATAAATATGGCTTATAATGAGAACTTCATCATAATCAAGAAAATAAAGAGACACTGACATTATCAGTCTGTTAATGTGACATAAATGGACAAAATCTATTGAAATGAGGGAAGTTTTTCATTATGTTCATCATAACGAATGATTCCTAGTGAGCTGCAACTTTTTGCATTGTCTGTAGTTGAAGGTTTGCCTCCCTAGGTACTTATTGCTGGCAGTCTGTCATGTGCCATGCCCCTCCATGTTTGAGACATGCCAAAACCTAAGGTCTGTATGCCTTCAGGCAAAAGTGCTTCCCATGCACAGCTGTTCTTGTGGTTGAGAAACATCAGCCAGTGGTTGCAAATATAAGAGATTATGTAAGCATGAGAAGATCTTCAATTTCTTAGTTTCGATAATACTATAATAGTCATCAAATTCTATTCTGCCAGTCCCCCAGAGTCAATCACACCCTTTACACTTGACATGAACACTTTACACATTCATTCCAATGCTAAACAAATTCTTTTTGATAAGCTCTAAAAGTTTGTGACAATAGTACCTTAATACAATGACTGGCTGGCTTTATGGATATCACCCATCATCCTACGTCTACTTAAAATAATGTTTAAGAGACAGAAATCTGTCTCCATCCTCAGGCAAAAAGCCTACTCAGGCCCAATCAACAGAGCTATTTCCTATCTCCAGACACCTGCACCAACACAAGGCACACTATACAGACCAAACACAACATAAACACAACAAAAATTTTAAAATACTGTGACATGTTGTGCAATGGAGGACACCCCTCCCTCCCCAGCGGTACGTGGCAGCATCGTAGCGCTGTCGTTACTCCCTGCGGTGACGTAACACGCAACGCAGCTGTGACACGGGTAACAGGCAACAGC